AAGAAACCATTGCACTACAATGGCACCGTCCCTGAGAAAAACACGTCACTGCCTGTCGTCAAGGGTAGCCCAAGCTCGCGCTACCTTGCGATGATCATGAACAAATAGCCGCGAAAGAGAAAGAGAAAAGAGAGAAGATCGATCTATGGCGGGGAGATATAGGTTGCGAGGACGATAAAAAAACGAAAACATCCAGTTTGTTGCCAAACAAGAACGCTAGCGTAGTTGAGGAGGGGAGGACCACTTGTCACGCCTCTGCGTCCCTTTCCCTATCTAGAATCTAACCCCAACCATAGAGCGCAGATGGTCAGAGTCGCCGAGGGATTGTTTTGTGAAGAACCCATAGCCTACACTAAGATTATGTCTTGTTTAGGGGGAGGGTCACAGGGGCTTCGCCGAGTGGTCCCCCTAACTAAGTTAAGGCTCGAAAAAGCATTACCTGGAATTCCTGAAAACTGCTGCTATTTTCTCTCGGAACAGGAACAGGCTTCCTTTGCCTCCTTCGACTGAAAGCAAAGCATTTATGAGGATAAGAAACATTAACATCTGGACTGATTACTAGGTATACTCTAGTTTGCTGCAGATGAAAGGGCGTGTCAGGCAGTATGAGTCTGCTACGGCGTCAAACCCGTTTGCTGCTAGTTGCTGAAGCTGGCATGTGGCAATAAATGTCAGAAAACGGGTGATATGCACGATATGACTTATCACCTGCTTGCCCTCTTCAGAAACTGGTGGAGCACGGGTTTGGCACCACGCCAAATCCATCATGTTTGACACGCTCTTTCGTCCGCAGCGAACTATACGATAAGCGGATTCAATTGGTAGACGCATTGGCTCAAGAAGGACGAAAACCTCTGGAAAATCAGGGACCAAGAGAACTTAACTGGTCAATTTGAAAAGCCCTAAGACGCTCTCTGTGCCAAACCATTCAATAATCACGAAGATGGAGAAAGGGCGCGTTGACGTGCTTCACGTCGATACACAAGTAGGATGCGTTTTTTCGTGGGATCTTCCATGAGAACAATTGCAATTGCTGTCTTGTGCTGACAAAAACGGTGTTGCAATTGTCCGCAGAAACATCATTTATCGACAAGAGGCATCGCCGCCACCTTCAAGTGAAGGCGCAGCCACGCCTTCTCCGTCTCCGAGGTACGGGCTGTGCATGCTAATTGTGAAGTTTTCTTAGTTCCCAGGCACATAAAAGAAGGAGAAAGATCCACTCACTCGTGATATGTTCTTGCGGTCCTTTTGCGCCCAGTACTGCTCCACATTTAGTGAATATGGGCAGTAGAGTCCTGCCGTATCTATGGACTCCCTTCAGACGATCGCTAGGAATCGAAGTGATCGGCACGTTCACATCAACCAAACGTGCTCCTAGCCATAATGCAAAGAACCATCCCAGTATTACGCCATTTAGGAGGGATTTGCTATGCATTACCCTGAAACACTACGACTTCTAAGAGCATTTTGAACCTTATTTCAGTATTCGGCGCAGTTCAGCTGGGAGGGGGCATTTTACACTTCCGATTCTGCTTGCGCTGTCGTTGGCGGGCTTTGCTTACTTGATTTATCTTGACAAGTATTGACAAGGTATTACACATTCTTCGACAGCGAGCTGACTAATAGTTTCTACTAATTGACAAGTATTACACATTCTTCACAGGAGCTGACAATAGTTTCTACTAACTTTGACTGGTATCACCCCACGCCTTCACAACATTTCACAAATCTTTACTCGATGGCTCGACAAGACAATGGAGGCAGCGAAAGTGCAAAGTGCCCCCCCAGCCAAACTCTGCACCATATTCGTTTCAAAGCGACCCTGAAAGATTATATGAACGAATCAAGCAAAAGATGAATTGATGACTGCAACTGAGAAAAGACATTCTTACGAATTCAGACTATTGAAACTTCCTTTTGGACCGAAATTGTTCTGAAACAGGGTGCTGATCTACGTACTGTACCATGGTCAGTGACGTCACACAAGACATCAATGACGTGTTGTGTGACGTCACTGACCATGATACAATATAGATTCCTTCCTCTTGTCATCCTCGTCTGTGGCAAATAGCAATCATCTCTCAACAGATAACAGAATTATACTGCACCTGCGCTTGAGAAAATATACCTCAGAGGAATAAAACCTGCGCCGCAGTGAACCTAGCCCCCCCCCCCCCCTTCCCTCTGAAACACTCAGCGTCCGCAGAGAACAAGACTATAGGTACCAGTCTGGCGAAATGAGAGAATAGGAGAGCAAGACAGTCGATCGATTCCTATCTTCTCCTTTGGCGAAAGCGGATTGCCGCTGATGTCATGATGTCACCACTTCGCGGATTGCGATCGAATGGTCCTTCGTACTTTCTCTGATTTTCCGATTATCTTGAGTAGCAAAGTATAAACGCGGCCCAAGTCGCTGGAGAGTGGGTCCTATTTGGCTTGCTGGGATGGGTTTGCATGAGTGTCCACGTGTGTGGGAATTCAAAAAGAATAAAAAAGAGAAGCAGGCTTTCAGGCAAAAAAGGGGGCTACTTGGAGTAACAAAGAACAGGTGCTGAATCACAACTCTCGTCGTTACGACGCGGCCTGGTTGGAACACGGTTTCAGAGGAAGTAGAACATCTGGTGCACAGTAAAATCGACTTTACAACTATGGGAGCTGAAAACTTTAAGATTAAGGGATTTCCTTTCGGTTCAGCTCAGAACTACAACGAAATTAAACTAGTCTTCATTAATGGAGTAAGCACTGATTTGGAAAATTCCGATGGAGACCATTAAATAGCTCGTAGTCAACGCCACGTCTGCGCTGATGTTGTAATGGTTACACAGCCGTTCGATTACCGTCTGGCTCATAACGAGCCACGCGCAGGTACACCAGATCAGAAAAATGGGCAACAAGTCACAGATATGCAAGCCTAGAACCAAAGAAATGGGCGCAATATCGGCTTTAAATGCAGCAATATGAATATAGCTCGCCCCGTTTACTACCTTGCTGCAAGTTGCCACTGCCAGTCTACCTAGAAGAAATGAGTAACTTAGCTCAAATCATAAGATGAGTTACAAGTGAGTTGGGCGTCATCTAGAGCTAAAATCTTCACATTTTTCGTTCCTGGCTCGTATGCCCTCACGGATACTCGGTTTCCCGTGTGTTGCGATTCATCTCACGTTCGGGAATGTGTAACCTAGCATTACGAGAGAGCATCTGTCCAGAAGAAGCCTACAAGTATCTGACACCGAAAAACTCGCTTGAATGATGGCTGGCGCTATCAGCCCAATTAAAAGGATCTCATCTATTGGGTAATAAGTAGGAACTGTAGGCCCTGTGCTCCATTTCTTTCAGCATGACAGGTCCTACACGGTTTAAAGGCACTTCCTGCGGGACCTCTCAGATGTGTCAGACGATCCAGAAGACGTTTGCGGAAGCTGCGCTACCTTTGAAAAGTGAAAATCTGCAAGAACTCCGCTGAAAAGCTAACCCATTAGGCCCATGCCGACCCCCACCGGCTGCTAGCTACTAGCTAGTAGCCACTATGCTATCTCTCCATTCCGAATGGTGAGAGTGAGGTGATAAGATAAAAGAGCTGATATCTTTATGATAACGAGTGGAAATTCGTACAAACATGCGTTTTCTTCATTGCATGTACAACAAGTTAGGGTTGGGAGACCTAATTCTAGTTCACTTCGGACCTCTGCTCAGCTAGTCAGTTAAGCTAGCACTTTTTTCGTTTGTTCTAAGTGAGCTGCCATTACCTCGGAATCTGTGGTCGCGAGGCTTTGGCTTTGAGCCTTTAGGCGAAACTGTGGTTTGCCTTCAGAAGACTGCTTGATCGGCATCAATTTGAGTAAAGGCAATCCAATAGTTTCTTACTATTTAGTTAGATAGATAGATGTTAAGTAGTTCCAAATTTTTGCAGACACGGTCTTCTTTGGATCAGCTGAACAGAATTTTTTTTCCATGATATTTCTCAGATTTTCCAGTTGCCGAAGGAAGCCGAGAACGCGATGGATGGGAGGAATCCTTGACGAATTTCGTCCTGTTCACTTGGAAAGGGTCGTGTCTGGATTGATGAAAGCTAATGCCTGATTGCGGCGAGGTGGGGCGGGGCGGGCGGGGGGAGGAAAGGAGTGGGGTAAGCGGTAGCTCTGCGTGCAAAATTACTTCCTCGATATATACTTGATTGATCATTTATGAAGGGGCAGATAAGCGATTATAAGCTAGAAGGCGAGAAATCTCGATATCTTCGATTTTCGATCAAATATTGTGCATGAAAGAAAAAGAGCGAGATGAGCTAGTTCGTCCACCCAAAACTATATCCTATTTGAAACTAGGTGGGCATGACCCCTTCCGTTTATTTGAAAGAAAACGCTAATTGACCCAATGCATTGGAAGCGATGCACCGAACAGCACTGTTCAAGTAGGTTGTAAGTAGCATACGTGCTGTCAAGCTTCCTCGAGTCAAATAACCCCCTCTTCTTCTACCCTTATTTGATATCAACTAATTACCCGCTACCTCAACAATACGGTTACCATCAGACAGTCTTCTTTACAGGGCTGTGACCAGTGTACCACATCTCTTCATATCTGGCCACACCGTGGGATACTTGAAGTGAGATAAAGAAAAAAGGACGAACCCCACAAGTCCCTAAGCAGAAAACGTAAAACGATAACAATATTTATTTGCAATAACAAACAACATGCTATCCAAGCTTAACGTTTTCCTCCAACTCGGGGCGCGGCGGTCTTCACTGGCTTCGGCGGCTTAACCTTTTGTGGGAGGGGCTTCTTTTCCTGGAACACTGCTATCTTTACGAAACGCAAGAGAATAAAGCATAATTGAAAATATATAGCATCATATATTGGTTCATCTCGACCGCAAGCTCATAGCAGCTCAAAATGCGAAAAACTCACACTTACGAGCTGTAGCACACTACGGGAATAAGAAAACCTTATTATTTCGCGCATTTTCGACACTCAGTTCATCATCGCGATGAAATGAGCTCTAATAATGCGCTTGCAATCTTCTAGCAATGCATCACATATCACATATCATCGGTACCTTCAGAACAAAAGTAGAGGATACAGTTCAATTTAAGGACCCATAACAAACCTTATTCATGGCGGCCTTAGCTGCTCGAGCTGCCTTGTTGGCTTCCTTTGCGGCCTTAGCTGCTTGCTCACGTTGCTGGCGTCGGAAATCAGATGTCTGATTGCGTTTAGCCAGGATAGCCTCCAAGGACATTCCAGCGACGGCACGGTTCAGGGTATGGGTCGTCTTCTTCACCTTCTTCCTTTGGACATTTTCCTGACCGTATGATCCCTGAAAAGAAACCAATTAGGATAAATAAAAAGTGGAAGCAAATATTTTGTTTCCCAGCAATTCACAAGGAGGGGTACTGAAACAAAACAAATCTGTTATGGGGACAGTGCTTAACTATACATGGACTACAATGACACATTGCTGAACCAAAAAAGGCCTTCAGTAGTCGCAGAGAAACATACATCCCTAACTATAACCCCAAAAACGATATCTTCGCAGTACTGTATAGAAGAAATGCCAGAACAAAAGAAAACTCCGAACAAAATGTAGTTACACTACATATCGTGGACAGGGGCAACTGCGCACATCAGTTTTGGCGAAGGCTTTGCCCTTAGTAGAATTTAGCCATTTAATATTTGCGATCATGTATTAGTCCTGCACAGGTTGCCTCACATGAATTTGTCCCT